TAGAAACAAGCAAAAAGTTACTTAAGACTTAAGAGAGCACATTGAAAACAACTCTGGAGGCGTTAACATTTGAGAGAAGACTGAAATATGGACTTCTAATTTAATACAAGAATCCCATTCATTTAAAAATATTTGTTGTTTGTAGAGGTCTAAACTAAAAGGTACAATTTTTTATAAAAAAAAAAAAAAAAAACTGGATATTTTGTTCTTTGCAGAGGACATTCTATTATCTAAATAATTGCAGCCTTTTCAATTTTGTGATTTATTGTGCAGCCAAATTATAAAGCAAAATGTTATGAAAAAACTAAGGGGCCTCATGAGTCATAATCTGTATTTATATCCCAGATACAAAACATATTATGATTTATTTGTAATATATAACTATAACTTAACATTAATTTGTTTTTTACTAGAGATTTTAAAAGCTTAATATTGGTATTGGCAAATATCGGCTACTGGCCACAACAGCAAGACAATACTGGATATTAGGGGTGTAACGATACGATATCATCACTGTACGATATTTACTGCGATTTTTTTGGAGGCTAACAAAACTGTTAATATGCTACTTTTTCCTCTTAAAATGTCTTGACAAGACTTAATGCAAAGAACTAAGACTTAAAAGTGCTTAGAACTGTTATTTCTTCTTGTAGTCTGCACTGAAATGGAGCAAAGGATCATGGTCTATGTAGTTCCCTTTGTTTTGTTTTTTTACCTATTGCTGCACCATAACTCTTAATTTAAGCAAAGAGACTTGTAATTCGATATACTGTGATGGTCCAACGATATTATTTTGAGCACTTTGATACGATATCACAATAATTCAGTTATTGTTACATCCCTACTGGATATCGGTATCAGCTAAAAAAAAAATCCATATCGGACCATCCCGACTGATGGATAACAGCTCGAGCGTCCCCCTGGCTTGAAAGTCCCAGCTCGAGCGCTCCATTTTGAGTTAGAAAATCAACATTCTATATCATAATAAAATTAAATGTGAATGTAGCGAGACCACATGTCGAGCTTTGTTTGTGTCATTTTACCGATTTTCCCAAAGCAGCACACATTTTTTCAGTCTGTAATATCAATATAATCCTCATTTGCTCGCAGAAGTTTACTCTGAAATCATATTTTAAATAATTTTTTCTTGTTTCCCATGTCCGATAGCATCTGTAACTGTTGATTTGGTAAGAAATATTCATTATTTCCTGCTTGCCAAGAACATAAACAACTCATGTCAAGTGTCATATCATGCAACAGGGGACAAAAGCAGGGTACCAAATCAGAACAGCTGCTTATGCTCAACATGAATAAATATGTAGAGATGTACTGTAACTTGCATGTGTAATTAATATAATATATATATAATGATTTTTTTATTATTATTATTATTATATATAGACTAACTAACTTGGTTTCATAAAGTTCACAATTCAGGGGGACTTTCCAGCTTTGGGGACTTTCCATCTGATTTCCCTACTAGTATGTATAAGCAAGATACAAAAAAAAAAAAAAAAACACTACAGCTTCATAAACCTGATTTGATTTGCAGTAGTTTCATTAGCGAAATGCACAATTGTAATGTGATAGCGCTTTGAAGGAGGAGTAAAAGGGAGCGGAAACAAAACTAAAACGTATTAAAATGTGCATATGAGTGAAAGGTTTTCATTCTGGTTTTCATTCTCTTCTCTCTAATTTATGTAATTAATGTCTCTCTCTTTTTAATTTCATGATGACTATTTATGTTTTAATTTGTTTTAATTGTGATTTTAATGTAATTCTTATTCTGTAAAGCACTTTGAATTACTTTGTGTACGAATTGTGCTATACAAATAAACTTGCCTTGCCTAAAAGATGTTAATAATAATAATTTTCCGCAATTAGAGCATTTTCAAAACGATAAAAAGGTGACACGGTGATGTAAGTATGTCCTCTCTAACCATCTCTTTATGCTACAGATATTCAACTAGTGATAATCTTGCACCCTCAACAATCATTACATAACGCTCGGTGAGAAGACATTTGTACTTTTGCGTGATTCGTGGTCCCAGTGACATAAGGTAACACTTGGAAACGAGTTGTATTTTTAGAAAGTGCACTTTTCGGAAACGTGAAAGCAGGAGCAATCAGTCCGGTAATTTCCTCCACTCCATGAGCAGAGACTAAAATCAACTCTCAATGAACACGGTAGAGTGAAAGTGGAAATGACGAGCCCAAACCGTGTTACCTTTAAGTGCATGTGACAGGATAGACTATTTCAAATCTCACTGAGTTTTTTCTAGGTTTAAGTTTATTATTCGACTCCCTGGTTGGACAAGGACAAGAGTAATTACTTAACATAGCAACCATAATGTCAATAAAGGGCCAAAACTTGTCTAAATTGCACTATAGTTATAAAAATGTAAGTTATATAAAAGTAAATGGTACTTTTATCTTGCTGATTGAAGGTTTAAAATGCCTTCTTATGGATATGGATTTTTTTTGAGCCAGTATCAGATATTTGGCCTGACCTACTTGTAGATGCAGACTTTTAGCATTTAAAATCTACTGCAGAGAAGTAAAGATCACATATTAACTTTTCCCTTTTGTAAAATTAATAACAAAATGTATTAAGGCTGTGCAATTAATCAAATTTTGATCGCGATTTCGATTTGTGTGTCAAACAATCTCCACACTCATATAATCGAGTTGAAACTATTTAAGCTTAAAGTTTATTTTGGGATATTTTTTATATAAATAAGTATATTTATTTTACTTTTTAGATACAGAGATTGTGGAACAGCTGGATATATGTTTTTCTATGCCTTATTTCATGTTCAAAGTATATTTTATTCATTTGATGTTTTATACATCGCAAAACTGCTCTAAGGTTCATATTTGTAGCCTATATTTATTTTCAATTTGAAAGTTTAGCGTAAATTATCAGTATCAAAGTGTTTTTTTAGAGAGAAAATTTCTGAATAAATGCATCGGGTAATTAAAAAATAATTGTGATTTCCATATTGACCAAAATAATCGCGATAATGATTTTTTTCCATAATCGAGCAGCCCTAAAATGTATTTATCTGGTATATAAAATAAGTTGTTACATGTCTGTGAAAACATACAACTAAATAATTCTATTTCCATTTTGACTCATGAGTCCGGTCAAAAAGGGCACACAGAGAGAATAGGTTCATGAAAAAAACAAAAAAATACTGGCCAATACTGATACTGGAAATGATATCTCCCAAATCCCTATTTTGGAATTTTCATTGTTGACACAGGCAGAGGTATTTGGGTTTACAACTCATACTTCCTGTATTTTTTGTACTTTTTCCTTTTTCTCGTAACTTATTTTTCCACAAACTGACACCACATGAAATACCCCACCAAACCGAGTAACAATTAAACATGAAAACCTGCCATATGCACTTCAAACAATAGGGAACACGCTATTCTTAGACGCCAAATAAAAGTAATAATAGCAGCGCGGTTTAACAAGTGTAGGCTGTGTTAGTGTGGAGCGGCGGAGCGAGAGAGGAAGCCCACACAAAGCACCGCTGATCACATCTATTCTATGTTTCCTGAGCTGCACTGATTACAGTCCGTGCAGAGAATTACACCAGTACAAGACTCGGACTTAGAATGGGCAGGTCAGAACGTTTCGGAGGAGAGCTTACTTGATAATAAATCTACATTTCACAATTTTGTCTTTTTTCACAAATGTAATCACGTTAATTCAATGAGCTGAACATCCCTATTTCAGAGCTTAGATGAAAAAAGTGTTATAGATACAAGGGATGTAATCAGGACATTATGTATATGTTATTTTTATGTGATTTGGGTGCTTCTGCTGGGGGAAAAAAACAAAGGTTATAAATGTAACTATGGGTCTTTGAATCCTGGATGAACAAAATGTGCATTGCAAGTTTAGTTTGACTGATGTTTAAAGGGACAGTCCAAAATTTTTGACATAAGATCTCATTTCCTAGTGAGCCAGAGTGTTGGAGATGTGTGGAGACACTTTTTAAAATATTCCAACCAGTCCTTGTATTTGCAGAGGTTGCTGCTGCTAGGCTAGTGCATGTCAATGGCCATAGTTATCCTGCCACTAAAAACAGTCTTACCCACTCCACAAAACACCCGAAACAAATCTGTTATTACACCAGACTGTCGATGTAAATGTCTCTGTAGAATAATTTTAGAAGTACAATAAAAGGATTTATGTCTGAGCAGCAGCAGTGAGTTGTACTTCCTGATAGAAAGTTTGGCGGCAGCGGCAGACTGATATATGAGAAAATAGTCCCTCAGCATGCAACGATTCATGCTATGCAAGGTTAGTTTTATTTCAAACATTATTCTATCAGCACAGACATTTACATCGACAGTCTGGTGTAATAATAGATTTGCTTTGGGTGTTTTGTGGAGTGGGAAAGATTGTTTTTAGTGGCAGGATAACTATGGCCATTGACATGCACTAGTCTAGCACCAGCGACCTCTGTAAATACAAGGACTGGATGGAATATTTTAAAAAGTGTCTCCACACATCTCCAACACTCTGGCTCACTAGGAAATGAGGTCCTATGTCCAAATTTCTGGACTGTCCCTTTAAGCGAAATTATTAACCATTTGGGTGGAAAATGCTGTCACTCCATGTGTACCTATTTTCAAGATAAATTATGTTCAGAAGCAACAAATTAAATAATCTCAAGGACACGTAAGCAATTAAATCTTATCTACTAAAACGTTTCTTGCGGTCTGAATCTTTTGTATTTACACTGGGAAATATTCAACAAAAGCTACGGAGCTCAGCAGTCGAAGCCCACTGTGGTATCAGAAGTTAAATTTCTCATTAATTTTTCCATAGACTTTGAAACACTCGGCTATATAGTAACTGATGTCAGATAATAATCCACAAACAAGCTTTCAAAACGGAAAAAAGAATAGAAAACTTGCATAGCTGCATAGGACACCCCCACTCCTCCCTCCCTCCCTCCCTGCAAAATCCCCCCACATACTCTTTGTTATGTTTGAGAGCCAGGTGGTCGGACTCAAAGTAGTAGACATCCGGCTCCTCCTCCTCCTCGTACTCCTCGTCCTCAGCAGCAACAGCAGCGGCGGCGGCAGCAGCAGCAGCAGCAGTAGTTTTCAACATGAGCTCCTCTGTACTACACGTCTCCTGTTTGGTGGTTAAATCCTCCGTAGGCTCCCCACCGCTCATGCCGTCTTGTGTCTCTTCGGACGCCCCGAGTTCACAGATTTCTTCAGTATTTTCCGCCATTGGGACATCCTCGACCACCACCTCTCCTTCTTCCCTTATCTCTGTAGTTGGCCCATTGTCTATAACGGGAGGAGGAGAGGGACACGAGGGCAAACTTGGCGACACTTTCCCCCCATTTGTCGCTGCTTTTTTGGGTGGAGTCCGCAGCGTGTACCTGTGTTCGTATAGCTCCGAAAAAGTAGAGTTGCACTCGATGGGTTCCGGAGGGGGAGAAGGATTGGGCGTGGCTTCACCTGAGTTGCTATGGTTAATAATTGGGCTATTGTTCATAATGGGAGAGGAAACGTCCTGCCTCGGTGGCGTTAAGCTCGTCTGCCCATTGCTTTCGACTACCTGCTCCTCTCTCGCCAAGCACAAATGGTCGCTCAGAACGTCCACTTCCTCCACTTCCGACACCTCTTGCTCTTTTGCTACGATAAACTCCTCGATTTGATTTTGGCTTCCCACGTTTGAATTGGAACAAGGCACAGAGCGGTCAGGAGAGGGCGCTGTCGATGTTGCCGTCTCGCCACTAGATTGGGCGCCATTGAGCAAACAGTTCGTGCTCGACTCCGTGCTGGTTTCGTCCTGGTTTTTAAGTCCATTCGAGGCTTTGTAAGAATTCGCCCCGTCACACTCCACTTCTCCATCCCGTGTCTCCTCCTCTTCTATCTCTTTAATTATCTCTTTACTACTATCAGAAATACTCAAATCCTCGCCGTTGCTATCTGCGTTTGTTTCCGATATATTTTCTTTCGCTTTCGGGACCGTCTGCTCCTCTTCGTGTCCCTGAGTGTCGGCCGATCGCGAGGACCTTCTGGCCCTTTTGATCTGCGGAGAATTTTCGCGACTCGCAGCTTTTTCACAGTTCTCAGATTTATTATTCGTATCGCTATCTTTCTCCAAACACGTTGCGCCCCGTTTTCTCGACGCGCTCCACTGCTCCCCCTCAGAGGAGCTATTCGAGTCCGCTACTTTATCCGACTCCTCCGCCTCTCGCTCAATGTCCGGCTTAGCGTCCGATCTGGCTTCCGGCTTGCTCTCCTCTTGCGTTTTGGCATCGGATTTGCCCTCTTGTTTGTCCTGTCTCTTCTTAGGCGATCGGGCCCGCGGAGGAGGAGGAGACACGGTACTCTCCTCCGGCTGAGCGATGCTTCGGTTCCTGAGCGTTCGGCCACAGAAGTTTTCGTCCAGTCCATTGAGCCCCACGGATGACCTGGTGACACGCGAGGATCTGGACGCGGCCATAATACGGCGCTGCTACTGCCTCCACATCCTGGAGCTGTGTCTCTGCGGCACGACCCGGCACCTGGGGACAGACAAACGCTATTTAGGATTCATTCACAAAAATAATGCGTTTGATTTTAATAACACTCTTTGGACATTCAAAGATGACACTTTACTTCAATGCATTGTTAAAAGGGCCTGTATGCATTTTTTTTTTTCATGTATTAGAGCAAAAATCTTGCTCCAAAACAGATATGCCTGCAACTAGTTACAAAGTTCTTAACTTATTGTTCAGTAATCAGGAATTGTACTAGTACTCTGCTTTGGTCTTGGAATGTTGTGAGTTGTAAGTGAGGAATAACTTTGGACCACTGCAAACCACAAAATGAACAATTTCCCGTATTTTTGGGACTATAAAACGCACTTAAAATCCTTTAATTTTCTCAAAAATCTATAGTGCACCTTATAATCCGGTGCACCTTATGTATTAAATCTGGCTGTGCTTACTGACCTCAAACCAAGCCCTCAAAAATCTGTCAAAATGTTTAAATACGACTTTGGTAAGCTACGAAGCCGCACCGCTTGATGGATTGTCGGAGCATTACAGTTATCGTAGTCCGGAGCCTCGTGGAGTAGAAAAGTTTGTAGTAAAGTAAAGGGTGTGTTCTTTCCCTCTCAGAAAGAACAAATATATTCCACTGAGTTGTGTCCTTTAGTCCGACAGAAGTTGACGGCATCAGTGCACAAGGAGCAAGCGTTTTTTTTCAGCGCTTATAGTTTATGCAAATTAGCTATGTGGTTTTAAGTTTAATTTCTGTAAAACAAACAAATGTGCACAAAGCTGCACCAAACATGTTATTACTCAATGTATATTTGAGTCCTCCTTGTAGGAAATAAAAAAACAAACTTAAATTATCCACCCACATTCACATTCATAACACACATTCACCAAGACAATGCCGGGCAAATTACAGCATGATCTGCCAATGGATCGTGGACGCCTGGGCTAAGGGATCGGTCTCAATTGTCGTCCGTTTGTTTCACTTAATGCACCTTATAATCCGGTGCGCCTTATGTATGAAAATAGACAAGAAAATTCAACTTTATTGATATAACGCCTTATAGTCTGAAAAATACGGTAATGTCTTTTTTTAAAGACCGTAATAATCAGGTACAGCGTTTTTAATTACTCCACACGCTCAGGTGATAATAAACTAATCCTGAGGTAGATCAACACAAATGCAACTGCCAGTCTGGCCATCGGCTCCTCCAAACACATGTGGCCACACTTGCTTGGGTGGAAATACCTGCTTGTTCATGTCTGATCTCGTCTGATCCTAGAAGCTAAGCAGAGCTGGGCCTGGTTAGAACTTGGATGGGAAACTGCTGGGAAAACTAGAAGACACCGTGGGGCAGCCATGGCTCTAGTGGAAACTGTTGTTGTGTCCTTAGGCAAGACAATTCCACTCATAGTGTCTCGTCATTAGGTTAGGTTAGGTTGCTTTACTCATACCTGTAAGTAAATTTTAGTGTTTTGCAGATTTGACAGGCAGGTCCCACATTGCTCATTTCATTCATTCACAATATGTACAATAAACACGTATAAAAACACAATTAAAGAATAAAATGTTACAGTGCTCCAGGGCACAAAGGCTTTGTCCCATAAACAATTAAATTCATCCATCACGCTTGATCACAATAAATATTAAATTTATTTTAAAAAAAACACACACAATTTTTCCAAGACAGTGTACTAAAATTGATAGGTAAATAGATTTCAGTTTATTCCTAAGTACAATAGCAGCATTTGTCATTGGCAGGATATCCTTTTGGAGCTTGGCAATTGATCAACCGGAACCACCACTCAATCACACCACAATTGTACTGAAGTGTCTTGCCCAAGAACAGCATGAACTCGTTGATCCCCCGGCCTTCATGTTGGTGGAGGAACAAGCTGCTAACCACTTGAGCTGCTGCCACCTCAAATTTATAATTAATTCATGAGGAAATCTGTAACTAAATGTACCGTATTTTCCGCACTATAGGGTGCACTAAAAACCTTTAATTTCATCAAAAAACAACTGCGTGCCTTATAATCCAGAGCACCTTATATATTAATTTATTCGGGTGTCTTATTACGACTTTAGTAAACTACAAAGCCGCACCACTTGCAGCATTACGGCTATTGTAGTAAGGAGCATCGCGGAGTAATACATACTGTGATTCCTTTTAATATAAAAATGCACCTGTCAAGAGACACGCTTACAACACTGACTTTAAACTCAAGGCGTTTATAAAGTGAAAGTGCGAGCTGCGAGGGAGCAGTGGATGAGAGAAGGTGAACACACATTCACCAAGACAAGGAGACAGCGCCGAGCGACTTACGCCACGATCTGCCAACGAATCGTGGACACCTGGGCTAAGGATCAGTATCAACTGTGGTCCGAGCTTTCACCAAGACCAGAATCATCACTGAACTGCCAGGTAACAGTAACCACACCGACTCGGACAATGACAAGAGGGATGCGGGCGAGCTGGACGCCGTAATCGCCCAACGGTTTGAACAATTATGAGTTATTGTGAATGCGATAACAATTTAGCGTCTCAGACAGTATTTTTTTTTACAAGTTACAATTGAACAAAGTTGAGAGTTATTGTGAACGTGTTACATAAATTTTGACTGACTTATCTAACTGTTGTGTTTCGTTTAACGTGCCGGTGCGGTTCGAAAATAGACCATTCAATGACTGTACGCCATATAATCCAGAGCGCCCTATAGAGCAGAAAATACGGTACTATATAATGCATTAGTGTGACTCTAAACTATGGACACCTTTGCCTTGGTATTTTCAGATGTATAACTCAAAATAATGTGTTCGTCATGCCATGGACGTGAGATACAACAAAACCACATGTCCGTAACAGTAAATACAAATTAATTACTTCAGTATTTTCCCACAGCTATTGACTGGCTCCTTAAGTGTTCCCAAAATAGCCAGAGCCCTCCACCCAAAGCCTTTATGAACAGGTCTGGGTCATTCCTCTCTGCTCTGAAGACATATTGATTTTTTCCTGTCATTGTAACCAAGCAACACCATCTGTCCAACGTCGTCTCCCACAACCCCACCGGTGAAGAGACACGTTTTTTAAAAAGGTGTAAAAATTTAACTGGTGTGAAATTACATCCAACACAATATGGCGACATACTGTGTTCAGGAATAATGCAATTGAATATGCTCTGGCCTATATATAGACAGAGTGAGAGCGATGTAAAAATCTGTTTATAACCAAAATCAATTCGTCATATACACAGGGTATGTAGGGGTTGTTTTGCTGAATATTTTAAACAATATAAACACCAAACTGAATCCATGGGGCCCAGCTCCAACTCTACACGACACTTAAAATGAGGGGGACGGGACTTTCTCTGAGGCCGGCTCCCCCATGTCTGGACAGCCCCCGCAGTGGAGAGTTTTAAGTCTTGTCTTAAGCCCCACTTTTACTCTCTGGCTTTTAACGCCGCGCGAGTTGTGTGGTCCTCTGTGTCTTTTATTTAATTAGATTTTTAGCTTTATGCATTTTAACACTTTATTTAATGTTTTATTTATAATTTTGTCTTTTATTGTATTAATTTGTCTGTGCAGCACTTTGGAAACGGTTTCGTGTTTGAATAGCACTGTTCCTAGTAATTTTTTTCCACTTTTGGTGCAAACTAGGTAAATTTGCAGTTTTCTGATTTTAAAAAAGCCTACATCAAAATGTGTCTTCAACGGCTAAATGTGTCTTTAACTCATCTCTTAGTCCATAACTCCTTAAATCTCTTTGAATATATTTAAAATGTTACTTTGTAGTAGTATAATTTGTATTGATGTATTCATATAGATAAATAAAGCAGTAATACAAATAATAATATGTTTTCTGTAAATTAAAATACAAATCTGGCAACGCTGATTACAAAGATCTTTTAGGTTTACAGATGAGTCACACCTTTAAAGTTTTGTTATCTTGAAATTCAAGTTTAAATTAGTGATGTGCTGCAAAAATGCTTTTCAGTGTTAAAGATTATTTTATTTTATTATTTTTGTATTATTTATAGCGCTATTTCATTAGCTCAATACGTGAATCAAGTACTTGGTGACACCACGAAAGACTGTCCGGACTACAGCTTGGTGTTTCTGATTACAAACAAGAGTTTACACGAGAACGATTTCGGGTAAAAACAACAAAATATTTTATCAGAAGTGCCTTTTGTTTAGACGGTGACGGCATTTTTGGGGCTTAAAAACGCAAAAATCTGAAAACACCCTCCCTCCAGAGTGGAAAAGTTGAATACGCACTGCCGTAGCGTTTCCGTCTACACTGCCCAAGACGCAAAACTCTGGTCGTGTACATGTTTACGTCACATACATCACCATCTAGCCGCCTGACATGCATACCCAACCCAATTCTACACACTTTTGCGTCACCGTATGCACTAGGGATGGGCATTTGATGAAATTTTCTTAATCAATCGTCGGAAGAATTAACGATCGATTATCGAATAATCATTAACGTTTTTATATTAAAATGATCATCATTATTATTACTATCTGCACTACTAATCTGCATAAATAAATTCAACTTTACGACATATAAAACGTAACGACTCTAGAACCACATCAGTCCGTTTGACATTATAACGTGTTTAATTCAGTTTTGCGCAACTCTCACAGAAACAAAACTTAAAACCACATCGCTAATTTGCATAAACTCAGCGAAGATAAAACTACAGCTCTTGTGTCGCTGATGTGGTCAATTTCTGTCGGATTAAAAGACATTATTCAGTGGAATACAGGTTAGTGTGACCAGATTTGCGTTTGTCAAAACCAGGACACCGTACGGGAGGTGGGAGGTTGGGACTCGTCATCAACATTGCGCGACTCTCACCTGGTAAAACTTTTTCCCACTGGACACCGAAACATATGTGCTGCTTTGTACACTGTGCACAAGGACTCACACTTGTCCCGAACGCAACAGAAAGCGTGGAATTTCTTGTTCAAATCATCGTTAAATACACATTTGTGCTTCGGCACGCTGCAGGCT